GGAGGTGTTGCTGGGGAATTGGGTCTTCCTGACATCTGGGGAGATTCACTCTCTATTAGCTCTGGAGACCATTGTCACCAGAACAGGAAGTGATGGGACATCAAAACTTTTCCAGATGTCACCAGAACAGGAAGTGAAGGGAAATCTTCCAAATGGGGATGTGTGGTCCAATGGCAGCACATAGGTGATTTCCCCTCACTTTGGAGGGATTTCTTCTTACTTCCTGTTGTGTTTGTGTGACAGTGCGGGGCAGAGAATACACCGGGGCCACTGGACTTGATTTATCAGTAGGTCAACCAGATTCACACGGGGCACGGTGGCTTTGGGAAGTCAGCTCTCAACAAAAACAAGGTAGTCCTTAAAGAGTGGACCCAGAGCTGAAGATCCACGTGGACTGGAGTTGAAAATCCACGGGACCCAGAGTTGAAGATCTACGTATATAAAGTCTAATAAAACTTTAAGACCCTGTAAAAAATAAAGGTTTAAGTTGGGTTGCACCGATACTAGTATTGGTATCGGTGCCGATACCGAGGATTTGGGCAAGTACTCGTACTCGCCCAAATGCTCCGATACCTTCCCCGATACTGGAACTTCCGGTCAGCGGAAGATTTCCTCTGACTGGCAGTGCCATAGGGGAACATGAAGCCAGCTTCCCGTGCAATCGGGAAGCCGGGTGGCTAATTATGACCCGCCTCCCGGCTTCCTGATTGGCCAGGAAGCCGGCTCCATGCTGATGCCAATCAGCATCGAGCTGGCCGAACAGCCGGCTCCATGCTGATTGGTTGGAAAGCTGGCTTCCCAGCCAATCAGCATGGAGCCAGCTTCCCAGCCAATCAGGAAGGCGGGTCATTACTTGCCGCCATGGCTTTGTGATCTGCCGGGAAGTTGGCTCGATGCTGATTGGCTGGGAAGTCGGCTTCCCTGCCAATCACAATCGAGCCGGCCAAACAACATGGAGCCAGCTTCCCGGGCAATCAGGAAGCCGGGCAGCATGTCATTAGCCGGCGCCCAGCTTCCTGATTGTCTTGGGAAGCCGCGTCCATACCAGCGGAAGCACCGTTATTGGTATTCGGTATCGGCGAGTACCGAAAGCAAAATATCAGTACTCGTACTCGATACCGAAAAACTGGTATTGGTGCATCTCTAGGTTTAAGGACGGAGTTCCACCTTACAGCATGTGGATGCTCTAATCCCTACGGCTGCTTTAAACTTTGCCAAGACGGCATCACCCATCTACTAAGTGACATCACCGACCTCCAGCATGCAAAGGGTGGTGCAGGAGGGGGGGGGGCCTTTCCGCCCAACTGAACCTGGAACACATTTCTCCCCGTCATCCGAAAACCAATGATACTTTCTGCAAAGCAAACAAGCGGCGCGGAGTTGTGACAAGCAAGAGAAAAGAAAAACCAACAACGGCTTCAGAGAAAATTGTCCCTCGAAGACTTTCCAAAATCCCTTCCTGGGGTGGGGTGGTGGGGGAGATTGAAATGTTCACAGCTGACTGGTTGTCATAAAAGAAGCAGAAAGTCCTTTAATGTATTTGGTCTCCGGAGTCCGGATGTGGGAAATTACCCATAATCCCCCCTTTCATGCTATAATAGACTCTGCTATGGTTACAATGTACTTGTCATAACACAACATGGAATTCAGATCTTCTACATCTCCCCTTCAAAAGGGAGACCTCAACCCTGGAGTGTCGGGGTCACCGCGGGGTCACAGCGGGGTCGGGCGTGCCACTCGGATAATAAAAAGTTTTATTCAGCTTGAAATCTCTGCCACAGTTGTTCCGGCTCCTCTCCTGGACTGAAATGGCTTCCTCTGATGTCACTGCACACTGTGAGCTCCTCCCACCATCTGACCGGCCCCTCCCACCAGCCCACGGATCTGCCTGTATTGCATAGAAATGCACAGAGTCTCAGTGAGGATGTCAAGCGGTCTAAAACCGGGCAGGTAATAAAAAGATTTTACCAAAATTATAATTTTGATGAGAAGGAAGGGTGGAGCCAGGGAAGGCAAATTGTTTTGCAGATCAAACTTCACTACAAATTTTCTCCAGTCCTCCACACCCACCTAGCTTCAGTAACCCCAAATTTATCAGAATGGGACAAAGTACTGACCCCACCTCCTCCCAATAATTTACCTGTGTGACCTATGGCCATGCCCGTCAGGTAGGGAGCAAGGAGCAGAGGCAGGGTGATTTTTTTTTTTTTATTCAGATATTTTTTAAATGCTGTAATTGTATCTGACAGTCACAGTGTTAAGAGGTGCCATTGCAGCCTGCAGGTGGCAGTGTTCCTCCGCCGGTTGAAGCCTTTTATTTTTTTCAGTGAAGCCTCCAGCCTGCGTGTGACACTGGTTAATATAAAGACTGCCGTCACGAAGGGGTTAACTAGGTAGGAAATATCATTTGAAGGTACGACGATAACCTTTTTTTGCATACAGTAAGCAGGGCTGCAATGTCTGCTGGGTTTTTAGCCACCAGGACAGGAAATGAGGCGACAAAACAGTAAAAATAACTGGCAGTGGTGACAACCCTCCCAAAGCTTAAAGCAAACCTAGCCTCAGCGTTTCTTGAATAGGACAGCACCATCTTTGCTCGGCCATCACCTATTCCTTAAGTTGAACACAAAGCTCCACCCACTCTATAACTTGGTGTCGGCTCAGATGCATCGTTCCCCCATGCCGTACCTGATGTCCTTGATAGTGGCGCGTTTCAGCGGATCGACCTGCAGCATGTGCATTAACAAAGTGGCGACGGATCGGTTCAGGTACTCGGGCATGTAGAAGACTCCTCCCCTGATTTTCTTGAATAGGGTGGGGACGTGCTCGTCATCGAAGGGAAGCGTCCCGCAGAGGAGGGCGTACAGGATCACCCCGCAGCTCCAGATGTCCACCTCGGGGCCGGCATACAACCTACAGGCAGATCAGACACAATCGGCTGACGGTTCCTTATACAATGTGACCACTAGATGGCGGGAAGGAGCACCGGAAATAAGTATTTCTCTCCTATGCCCCTCAGCTCCATCTAGTGGCCAATAGGTGGCATTACATTACATGCACTTCACAAGAGGACGATCATTTTTTTGGGATCAATTAAATATCTTACTTATAATTAATAAAGTGTAATAAAGTCTAATAAATTCCTATTCATTTCCTTCCTATATATTTATCATTGTATAACCTCAATAGTTATATTTAGACCTTTTTTGTAGCCCTGATGAAGGTGGGGGTGTGGTTTGAGGCCCCCGAAACGTGTTGGCTGTTCTATGTGATCTCATTAAATGAACCATTAAAAACAACTTCAGGATGTATTCAAA